ACTACTGCTTGGCATTGTTGTGCTACGTGGCTATATCTACCACATCATGCCTTATCATAATATGGTATCACGTCTCATGGATCATGAGTCATCAACAAAGTCTGGGTTTATGCACCATATATGTGTATTTAGGAGTAAAATGTTAATGTCTCATCCTAGATTGAATCGAATTTCGTATCTAACACGTGTGGTGGGCGTGATAATTCCAGCTTGATAGAAGATCCGAATTCGTCCCGAGCACGAAGACGTTATGACATCACATAGTGCAGGAATTTCACACGATGCTATAGACTCACCCATCATGACTCGATGATGTTCGGAATATATTCAGCATTTCACGCGAGATCATCTGACCTATAAGGTTAATTTTAGGGCGATTTCTGTTACCCGTGATAGATATCCACACTGTTTGTACTGATAGTGCAAAGTCACGTGATATCAAAAGATATTAAGATTCCCGAATGTACGCCTAGCCACTCGATTATACACCCGACAAAATTCGAAACTGTTCGTTGGCGCAGGTCGTCACGAAAAGATCTAGAACTATGAGTGTACATGGAACGCTGTCATGACGTAGCATGCATCGTATCATCTCCATCGCAATGTCCGCAAACTCGCCTCGCGTGCTTCACTAATTAATTAACTCAATTGCGATTCTTTCTGGGCGTGTTGGAATGTTGGACTAATTAGCAATCGCTTCGGTCATCACGTTACCCTCATTGGTTAATTAAGAAGCTTTCGTACTATACTGTGCACCGGACAATCACGGATCGCTGAAAATCACATATTTGTCGCCGTTTGCCATATAATTTATCGCCGATCGGTAATTATTGCGTTGGTAATTAATTGCAATTAATAAACATAATGAATTGATTGTAACGGTAACCGTACGACAGCACGCACACCCAGACACGCGCTCGCGGCCTCGCGTGCTCACGAACACACGCACCCCCGCCACGCACTCACACCCGCACACGCGGCCTCACGCACTCACACCCGCACACGCGGCCTCACGCACTCACACCCGCACACGCGGCCTCACGCACTCACACCCGCACACGCGGCCTCACGCAATCACACCCGCACACGCGGCCGCACGCACCCACACCCGCACACGCGGCCGCACGCACCCACACCCGCACACGCGGCCTCACGCACTCCCACCCGCACACGCGGCCTCACGCACCCACACCCGCACACGCGGCCTCACGCACCCACACCCGCACACGCGGCCTCACGCGCTCATACACGTACACGCGGCCTCACGCACCCACACCCGCACACGCGGCCTCACGCGCTCATACACGTACACGCGGCCTCACGCACCCACACCCGCACACGCGGCCTCACGCGCTCATACACGTACACGCGGCCTCACGCACCCATACCCGCACACGCGGCCGCACGCACCCATACCCGCACACGCGGCCTCACGCGCTCATACACGTACACGCGGCCTCACGCGCTCATCCACGTACACGCGGCCTCACGCGCTCATACACGAACACGCGGCCTCACGCACCCGTACACGCACACCACCACACTCACGAACACACATGGCGTGTCTTGCGATCTAGAGACACACAGCAGAAGCAAGTCAGGTTGACTTTCACGTTCTTAATCTCGACCAGAATAGCAAATAACAAGCCCCGCAGATACCTTGAGGTAGGGGTTAATTAACAGTAAATTCATTTTCGTTAAATATTGAACTCTCGTTAGAAGTAAGACCGTTCTTCCCTACGCCTATAGTTATGCTCGCCACGTGTATAGGCGATTGGGCACATTCCAGCAGCTAGACGAACGAACAAAACTGCGTCCCCCAGATAAAAACACGATAGGTCTATATACTCTATACGATCGTACTATCCGTGTGTATTTTATTTATAGTTAATCTGCGCTATTGTTTTAGCACACGTAAAACCAGTCGCTGATTCGTCGTGGACGCACGGAGCTCACACATTTTTTCGTTGTGTCGTTCAAACAACGCGAGAGAAATAAATATTTCCAAGCGACTAAATATATCACGACGTAGCGATCAAAATAATTAACGGATGTTTATGGTAGACCCAAGTATAGCACGCACACACTTACGCACGCACACTATATATGTGTATATATATATA